TCCGATACAAAGAAGTCAATTTGTATTATCAACACAGCTGCTGCTTCTTATGAAACAACAGTGACACTGCAAGACATAAACTCGCAGATAAGATGTTAGCAAGGCAAAAAAATGTTCATGCATCAGCAGCAAGACATCAGGGAGCAGATCATAAAATAACAAAGCTAGCAAAGCTGAATATATAAACAGTATTGAAACAAATATGTGTGATCATCACTTATCGGTATTCCACTGACTAAGATTACAGCCACTGTGAAGAATGTGTTTCTTCTGAAACATTTTGCACTGACAACAGTGCGCTAAATAACTGACTGACTATGCATTTATGTGATCATTAGTACTGTTTGACCCAAGCACTGTCACAATTTATGTCGCTGTGCCTGCCGTGCACAGAGCAGTAAACTCTGCAGGACTCCTCATTGTGGATGTATACATGCTGCCTTTTCAACTTTTGTACATTGTAAAAGACGTATCTTCAATGAATGTCTTATTACTCGAAAATGTGTCACCTGTTTCATGGCTCATTTATTTTGCAACAGTTCTGTTTTAATTAGATTTATAAGGCCGTATGTTGCCCGTCCGTGATTTTGGCTGCGAAGGCCATATGGTTGAAAATGTGATACAATGTGAAATGAAACAAACATGCAGGGAAAACCGGACAAAAAATTGATTGCCTCCACGTTAGTGAATGCTCGAAAAACGCCTAGTGTAGATTTAAGTTTTCGAATCATTTTGTCATCCAAATTAAATTAGATTTGATCCTCCCAGGACCCACAAAGATGTCTTTTTGTCACGGATTTTACCAAGTGTGCCCATTACGTCGTTCGCGATCCACCGGTAGCTCGTGGACTGGTCCCAAGTCAATCACGAGGGGTGTAGGGGGGGGAAAAAAAACAACAAACATATGAGTATCTTTGTGTATGTTAGTAATATACTTTTTGTGTTGATGCACACTGCACTCTAATCATCCTATCAGTCTCACTTTCACAAAAATAAAATGAAATAAAGCAGGTCACCTTTAAACTACGGTGGCGCCCGACTGCGTCACCGGAAGTTGTCAGCGCTAATCAGTCTGCAATTGCAGCTTGCGATTGGAGCTGTTGCGATATAGCTTTATTATTATTATTATAATTATTATTATCAGTCAAAGTTTGTTTCATGTACAATTCACCGATGGCACTCGCAAAGAATGGCAATCTGTCGGGCTGAGAAGCATTTTAAAACGGAACGCGTGAGCTACGATAGTTAACAGGCGGCAAAAGCGCGTCGCAGACATCGCGTCAGGTCTCCCACTAAGGTAGGCAGGAAATCTTTTTCACAAACTCATAAACTCTTGTGTCTACTTTATTATTATTATTTTTGTGTCGTTCCTCTTAGGGGCCATTATGGCTATTGCTCATCATGGCATGCGTGTGCCAGTGTGTGCGTATATACGCGCGTGTGCGGTAACGGGTCAATCGTCGGAGGTTGGTTGATCGAAAAGTAGATCTTAGGTCAAAAAAGGTTTGGGCACCGCTGGGCTGTACTCTCTTCTAACTTTGTGAGATAGTCAGCTCTCACAAGGTAGTGCAGTCCCACAGCTGCCGACATTGTAAATGAAGACTGATCAGTATCACCTTCTATAATTTTTGATGTCACTGTAACGTATTTTGCAAGTGGTTATTATGTTGTAACTGCTCATTGTATATTTATAAATATAACGATACAATATATTGCCATATACGTGTGCACTAATTATCAAAAAAGAAAAAAAACATTAGACATTTTTATTGCCACAATAGGCTCCCCTATTAAAAAAAGAAAACAACCCCAAAATTGGGCCCGCCCCAAGTTTGGGAAAGGCTCAGCAAAAATAAATGAAAACGAAAATGGTTGAAAATGGTAACTGGTGCTGAAAAGAAACATGCTATGAACTTTGACCTCTAATACCATACATCAGATGTTTTTTGAAATCACGACTTGCACTATCTTGCACGTGTAGAACAAGAAACTCTAAATATTGCACTTGGGTTGACTTATATTTTGAACAGCTAAACAAGAAATATTCACTAATCAAATGCATGGTAGGGGACTTCAATCTTTCTGCTCATTAACTTTCACGAGCAGGCTGAAAACATTTCGAAACCAAATACTCATGTCTTTGTGCTTGCCAAATGTTTCAGCACACTTCTGTTGCCCGCCTCCCCTCACGCTTTCCAAAACAACACAAATGTTTGTAAGACATCTGCAAAACATTTGTGCTGTCCGAGATAAGAGGTCTTCGTCCAAACGCTGCACCGCTCAGCAGTGTGGCTCCGACTTGCATGCAAAGCTGCAGGCTGAAATCTTTACAGTGCATTTGAAGAGTTTCCCGAAAGGATATCATGGAACGCGTACAAGGTCTTTGCTTGGTGTTTTGCCTTCTTCTGCTGATGCAATGCACACACCAGCAAACAACAGAAAAGAAGAGAAGCACAAAGAAAGGTAAGGTCAATATTCAAGCTTGACCTCAGGATGTGATGCTAACTTCATTTCTTTGAATCATGACAGACGCTACCAATGCTGCAATTGAAGAACTAAAGAAACAAATTGAAGACATTGTTTATGACCTGAACTTGTTGAAAGAGCAGCAATCTCTGCAATCAAGTAAGTTTGTTTCATAACCCAGATAAACATTGCATTGATATGTACATGCGTAGTACTATTGTTGATCTATGCAAACGTAATAGGTCACGTTCCAAAGCATACCACATCATGTGGAATCTAATTTTATGTTTTTCAATGGAAACAAGCATTCCGATCCAAAATTGACCACATGTGTAATCTATTCATGTCGTCAGTACAAAGTAACACCTTTTGATCCAAAGCACACCACATCATGTTTCGTCTAATTTTCTGCTTGTCAATGGAAAGCAGCAGCTCTTGATCCAAAGCACACCACATAATGTGTAATCTCATTTTGTTAGGCAATGCATGCTCTGGATCCAAAGTATACCACATCATAGGTACGCTAATTTTGTTTGTCAATGGAAAGGAACGACTCTGGATCCAAAGCATACCACATCGTGTGTACTTGATTCGTATGGTTATCAAAAGAAAGGAACAGAGCTTGATCCAAAGCATACCACATCATGGGTAATTAAATTTTATCTGTCTATCAGTGGAAAGGATCAGATCTTGATTCAAATTATACTACACTACGGATAATCTAATTGTATCTGTGTGTCAATGGAAATGAACAGATCTTGATCCAAAGCATACCACATCATGGGTAAGCAAATGTTATGTGTCAATAGAAAGGAATTGAGACTGATCCAAAGCACGTGGGTACAATAACCTCATTTTATTTGTTAATTGCAAGTAGCAGCTCTTGATCCAAAGTACACCACATCACGGGTACGTTAACGTTCTCTGTCAATCCATCCATCCACGTCAGTGTGTCTGCGTGGAACGAAGGTCCCAGGCAAGTGTTTCCTCGCCAATCCGGTCAAGAAGACTTTCCACGCAGCCAGTGACGACTGCGTGGCAAAGGGAGGCAGCCTGAGCACCCCCTTGACAGGCGACGAAAACGACCAGCTGTACGCCTACGTGCGTCAGAGCATCAGCCCGGAAGAGTCCATCTGGCTGGGCATTAACGACATGGTGACCGAAGGCCAGTGGTTGGACCAGTCTGGGTCCAACTTGCGCTTCAAGAACTGGGAGACCGAGATCACCATGCAGCCGGACGGCGGACGAAGCCAGAACTGCGGCATGTTGGCCACCACGGCCAACGGGAAGTGGTTTGATGAGAGCTGTCGAGCTGAAAAAGCTTCCGTGTGTGAGTTTAACATTGTGTGACCAGAGTTGACTTCGAGGTGCCATGGAGACCATTTGAGTACAAAGGTCATTTTTGGATAATGCTTCAAAAGAGTGCACAACATCATTAACCACTCCCTCATTTATAACAGTTGCCAATAGGTCATTTTTATTGTCATGTATAGTTTTTTTTTGGTTTGTTTTAAAACATTTATTGTCAAAGCAGAAAAATGAAAGCATTACGTTGCTAGGAGATTTCAAGGTAAACACCAATGGATTTCTATCTTTATATTCCTATATAAGCTAATAAACCAAATACAGCTATTTTTTTTTCTGAAAACGCTATTCCGTGCCATTTCTGTGCACCGCCTAGTACAAAAGCTTCGCATTAAATTAAATATTTTGGTCTGCACAGCAGAATGAGTCATCTTATAATGGATGACCAAAATTTCAACAAGCTGTTATTGACGACTTTAACCCAACTCGGCTTTGACCTGTGAGCTCAGAGAGGCTAAACATTCGAGGAGGAAGCGATTTGTTTGAAAAATGAAAACCACAAAAACAAATGAGAGCCCTTGAATGACTGAATACAAGACTCACTGTAAATGGTATGCTCGGGGGGTGCCAGTTACGAGCCAAGATGATCACATAAACTGCCAAACCCCTGGGGGCTATATTTGCTGCTCCCTGTCACTGAGTCAAGATTCTGAGTCATTTGAGTCAACGAAAACGTGCAAAGGGGAATTGTGTCAACTTTTTCACCCTCCAAATGAAATGACCTCACACAAAGTTGATTCACCCAGAGGAAGCTTACATCAGACTTAACATGTAAAGGCAAGGTCAGAAATTTGGGATTTTAAAGTGACTTTCAACCTCTATTTTAGGATGTAAGAATTTACAATATGCAGTGTTACGATATGCAGTGTACATAGAATTGCTCCCACAAATTAGTCATAGCCTAAAGCCGCAGTTTTATTTAAAATAAATTCCTTTAATTCTTAACGAGGAGAAGGAAAGTGCGCACACATCAAAGCTAAAAAGACAGTAAATGTGCTATAGCAGCACACCTTGAGTTCCCACTATAAGTGACTGAATGGTTGTCTGTCTCTAAATATGCCCTTTGATAGACCGGCAACCAGTCCGGTGAGTAGCCTGCCTTATGCCTCAGGTGAACTGATGAGTTTTAAGGTTCTTTGCAAGCTTTCGTGCAGGTGGAGAACAAAGGATGCATTTCTTTGAGCTACTTTATTATTATTAAAAATGGCTAAAAGGTATTTAAATAACACATGCAAAATGCCTGTTTCTCAACATGCGATTGGTACAAAAGTACAATTTGAAAAGCAGTCCTTGTTCCAAAAATATTTTCTAGTTCCACTGGTCACAAGCAGTAAAAGGGTGACTCGGTTCAGATTTTACAAGAGAAGCCCCACCACTTGGAATAAAAGCAGACACCGGCAACTGGCAAGTCTGAACACATCTAGTTTGTGAATTTGGTGCAAGAACCCATGCAGGAAAAACAAGGTCTCATGAGGCCAAGCTTTAGTTTGTCACAAAGCGACCCAGGAATGAAAATCTCCAAGTTAAAAAAAAAATAAAAGTCTGGTGGAAATCCTGAATCCAATTAGTTGCCTCCCTCCGGCTCCAACCGTGCCCCCATCGCAGCTGTGTTGTGCTCATCCAAGGGGGGCTGGGCCTGGTAAATCACATTGTCAACAAGGTCGTGGCTGTGGCTAGGGGGCCTGTTGGGAAGCGGGGGTGCCTGCTGAGGGGGCAACGGATACGCTTGGTAGACCCCCGTCTGAATGTTGTTTGCGTCTGTAGACACCTGAGAGTCTGTTGGCCCCGCGAAGGGCTCGTACGCATCTGAGTCTGTGTAGATGCCCATCTGCGCCCCCTTCCTCAGCAGGTGGGTGTAGACCAGCGTGTCCTCAATGGATTCGTATACATGGGACTCGTTGTCTTCGCGGGTTTTAGGGAAGCCGTTGTGCCCGGGCTTGAAACTGCTGCCGTTGGGATTGTAGATGGACACCTCATGACTGAGCTTCTTTTTCTTCTTCCTGTTTGGGCGTGCGCAAAGGAAAATCAGTGTCATACAAGAGCTCTAAGGTGTTCCACTTTAAAAGTCAGGCGAGGTATCATGTCTGTCGCGTAAAAATCTTCTTCAGGTGAGTTATCATGTCTGTGACATCTTAGCTCTTCTTTTTACTGAAAGCCAATGAAAAAAAACCACATGATCTTCATGATTTTGACAGATTTCAAGAAAGGCGCAATGAATGATTGCGTTGACTTTTCTGAAGTTTTTTAAGACAAAAAAACTAACTGATCATGATAAAATTGTTGCCATGGGAATGAGTAATAATCTGACGAACGATTGGTTTGATTTTTAGAGTACATACAATACTCAGATAGGGCACAGTGTTACGTATCCCTGCATTGTCTAATGCCATCCAATTAGAGGAGTTGTATAGCTTGTAAAAATTCAGCCTTTACAATAATTTTGCTCACTTTTAATGAACAATAAGTGGATATCGTGAAGTTGTGAAGAACTGCACTGCATCCCATCAGAGCTGTTTCAAAGTTGCTGTTACGTAAGACAGTCCAAATGTTGTGCTATCAATTAATATGGTTCATTCAGTCTTTTTTAAAAAAATATATAACTTCTCATTCTGTAATCTCTCTAAATTACGGATGCTCTTTTTAGTATTTACCCAACAAGTACGTTATTAGGTACTTGCCAAGACGTTCCTGTCCTTGTAAGCCTAAATACCACAAAGAGCATTTTTTGCCCCATCTTGCCACGAGGTTTTGACTTGTACATTGCACAAGGGAAAGAAATATATGTATTTTCTTGTATATGCATGTTTATACGTAATTTTTATGGTTTTATTGTTATGGCGTCAATGCATGATTTCTTTTCAGCATTTTCTCATAATGCTTCAGGGTATTGATTGAATTGAATACAACTTTATTGTCAAATGTGCTGTACGTATGTGTAAGGCATGAGCATACCCGATGCACTCGCAAATACATTTGAAAGGATTTGCCAGCCGAATATGTTTACTCCACACTGGCAGTTCCACGCTTCCCTACTAAGTAAATAATAATCTAAAAAAATAAATTGTTTATTGAAGAATCGTCAAATCATATATGTGCAGCGCTTACTTAATTACGAAACAGACAACCACCAGCACGGCGAGGAAAAGGATCACCAGGGCAGCGACCACGCTCACGACGATGATCAATAGTTGGTCTGAGTGAGAGAAAACGTTGGCCAAAGTTGCACTTCACTGTTTCCAATGTACAAATTGAACGTTGCACTTAATAGAAGTCGAAAACGTACTTTTCTGAACGGTTAGCTCGGTGATGACCATGAAGTCTCCCCTCTCGGGCATGCAGTTGGACATGTTGAGGTAAAAACTCTCAGACACGCTGATCTCGTCGGCCGCCTCGTCTTCCCTGCGACTGTAGTCCTCCTCCAGATTGTCGAACCTCTGCACCCGGATATTGGTGTGCCGGTTGGCACACTTGGGCTGGCTGAGGTTGACGAACTTTAAGTGCGCCTCCATCTTCGGGGGGAGCGTGATGATCCAGGAGACGGTCGCGTAGGACTTCATCCCTACTGGCCAACCGGGCGTCGCCAAAAGGAGTCTCGTGTCTCTTTTGGGGGACACTGTGAATATGTATCTCTCTGTGTTGGACAGAAGAGACCGTCAACATCAATACACAGGTATCTTATTTAACTATGACTATTACATTAATTTACTCAATTTGCCATGTGACTACGTATTGAAGAATAGGTTTCAGGAAAGTGCCAAGTTGTTCAAAAATAGGATTCAAACAGTTTGCTACCTGCTATCTCCTCTTTCAAACTAGCCATCAACAAAGGCTTCACGGACGATCTCAGCCCTCGGCCCCCCGATCCTCTCATGGTGACGGATACGTTGGTGTGGATTTGGACCTTCTGAATGGCCCCCTGAGGACAGAAGTGGCCTATAGTCATGCCGTCATCCTCCGTCAGGGCAATGACATTGTCATCGCACAGTTGACCCGGCAGGGACTGCTGCAGAGGTAAACAGGTGAGCTCCACAGTGCCATGAGGAGGAGGGCGGAGGGCCCAGGTCACAGCGTTCAGGGGGGACGGGAGGCAGCTGGGCAAGGAAGGAACCATAAGAGGCACTGGACCCTTTGGGCAGTTTTTAAGTTGACTGCAGCCTGTGCAAAAACATGGGGTATAGCATAGATCAGGGGTGTCAAACTCATTTCACACTGTGGGCCACATACGGACTCGGTCGATGTCAAGTGGGCTGAACCATTAACATTATACCATACTGTGCTATAAATAACCAAAATATCATCTCTTTCCTTTGTTTTGGTATAAAGAAGCATTTGGCGCTTTCATATCATTTGCTGTGTTGTGTCTGTCTCAGTGACAGACTGAGACTGCTGTTTTCTTCTCTGATCAAAACAATGTTGTCTTCTACTGTGATCAAAACAGTGTGCCCCCTAGCGGGTAATCCACAAATTGCATTTTATTTAAAATATTCACTCTGTGTCTTTAATGCATTTTTTTTCCACTTTTAAATTATCCTGCGGGCCAAATCGAACCTCCTTGGCGGCCGGTTCCGGCCCACGGGCCGTATGTTTGTCACCCATGGCATCGATGAAGGCTTTTATAGGAAGGTGGCAAAGAGTGCATCTGAAAAGTTTTCACTTTTCCCACATTTTGTATTTAGGGATGCATTTATACCTAATTCCAAAATTGAATATATCCACTTTTTTTAAAACTTTTTCTACACACGTTTTATATGGTTGTGTTTGTTTTAGGTTTTTTTTCCCCCCAATATATTTGCCAAATGTCAAAACTTTCACTTTGACATTAATGGGTGTTGTGTGTAAAAGTTAAAGAAACACTTGAAAAGTACCGCTGTGAAACAAGGCTATAATGTCAAAACATAGAAAAGGGGGACACTGAATAATTTATGGATGCATTGTGGATGAAAGTAGACTTTTTTTGGGCAGTTTTAGCCAGGACGTTGTTTACAGAAAAAATATGTTACATTTTTATAGACAGACTTAAATGTTAACAAACAGGAATTGCGGCATGAGCGGCTGCCATGAGTTTAAAAAAAAGCTTTGAACTCAAGCAGGCGTGAGTCAAATGCGGATTTACCAATGACTCCACTGGCTGTGACGTTGATGTCTTGAGGAAGACAGTCCTGAAAAGACAGTTGAGAAACGCCTCCGGATGGGACAGTGATCTTCTCCATGATCACAGAGTTCATCTTCATTTCACATTCAGAGGCCGGCTTCAGCCTTTCCACGTGCAGAGAAAGGCCCCTTGTTTTCTTCAGGTCCACGCTACAGAGCACTGCAAGGGACAGCGGAAAGAGTTATGGCCCTTTTTCTCCGAAGCCAGCGGCAAAACAAGATCCTTCACGTCACCGGAGGAGTTTCCCGCTGAGCTACTGTCATTCATGACTACTGTAAGCGTTGAGTACGCAAACCCGGGGGCGTCTATAAATCGCACTAGTCTTCCCGTCATCACGACGACACCTACGCTGATTTCAAAATTGTCGATGAAAAATAAATAAAAATTACTGGCACAGTAGACATTTTTGTTCACGGTAAAAAAAAAAAAAGTTTTGTCACACCGCAGGCCTCCCCAATGCGCTCAGTTTCACATTTTGCCGTCACAGTCTGCACTGTTGTTCCAACAGGATATGAAAATGGAAAATATATGTGACCTGCCGCAACATGTCGTATCTCAATCAGTCTTCCTAACTGTTATGTGTAGCAAAACTAAACAAACCGCTTGGGTAAAAATGTTCGGATTCAGGAGTCATTTGCTCAAATAAAACAATCACGGTCTACAACGTGAAGTAATTAGAGCGAAGAGCTCCCATTTAACTTAAGCATTAGCAGGAAACTGATTCTCTTGCATGCAAATTAAACAGCTCTAATTAATGTCATTACGCTTTTTATTGTGACGAAAAGGAGTCATTGAAAAAACGAGCTACAAGTCGTGAGCAATCTGTAAAGGGGAGATTCAAATTTTTCGGAATAATGGAAAAACGCATAAACATTCACTCCATCACACATATCCTTGTCAAAATTAATCCATCGAAAGCTTTTTCCAGTTTTTACCAACATTGTGACATTCATTTCTCATAAATAATGCATCAATATGAATGACAGCAGTAATTAAAAAAACTAACCACTTCTGTGAGTAGAGCTTGTTTGGATACACCATATGATAACCTAACTTTGTTTCCCACTTGACACCACATTAAAATTGACACAAGCTGTGACCACATTATTCCATAAATGTTCAAGATGCAGCACGTACAATGACTGCTCTCCACAAAAGAAACTTGCAGTCTAGTTAGGTTTGTGGGTTCCACGCTTCAGGATGTTTACCCAAACTTTGAAAAACAATATTAATGCTAGTCGTAAAGCGGATGATATACCTGGTGAGCGGATCTTTGAAGATGTCACCTTGAGTTTCAGGGAGAGTCCACGAGAACCAGTTCGCTTTCTGTCCATCTCACAATTCCTGAGAATCAGAGAAAAGTCTCCCTGATTCTGGACCGGCTGGGTGTCCCTCAGGCCCATCACCAGCGCCCGCCTGCCTTTGCTGTGGTACTCGGCCGCAGTTTCCTTCTTCAGACAACGTGGCTCCGTGAGGTCAAGGAACTGGATCGCTGCACTTTGTTTACCCGTGAGCTCAAAGTACCACTCCATCACGTCGTCATCGGGAAAACTCTCAGGGAAGTTTGGAGAGAGCAACTCAGAGGAAGATGTCCCTTGTGGCAGCGCTAACGTGATTTTGGCAAGAGCTAAAAGAGAAACGACATTTTAGATTCATGACAAGATGGAGAAGATTGTATTTGGAAACTAACTTACATTTGATGTCCTCCCCACCAGACAGGGCAAAATAGTCACTTTGGACTTCTAGTCCTGGTGGGACGTCCAGAGAGAAGCTACCCTGGTTTAGAATCTGAGCACCGCTGATGGGGCCTGTCCTGCAGTATTTGCCAATGAGCACAGTCCCGGTCTTCTGAAAGGCCTTTAAAGTGTAAGTTTGCATGTCTGAGCAGTTTTCAGATGGAGGAATTTGTCTCATTCCCTTGGTGAAATCCACTTGGACCGACTTTGGTCCCGAGGCTTTCAGGTTCCAAGTGAACCTGCGATGGAAATCCAACCACGGACCGAAGCCTGAAACTGCCCGCACGAGGTCTTCACCGCATGCCTTTGTGGTACATTCTGAAGAGAGATATTTACAGTCGTGAGCATCAGTCTCGCTTGGGGATGGGAACATTTTGTAAAATGTGCTCAAAGACCAAATTTTATTTTGAAAATGGAGAGATACACTAGGTCATTAGCCCATGATCTAAACCACAGTTTCAAACTCAAGGCCCGGGGGCCAGATCTGTCCCGTCACAGTATTTTATGTGGCCCGCGAAAGCAAATCAAAGAAGACAACTTTCATGATGCTTGCAAAAATCTCTCTCAAAATTTCAAATTCTCACTTGTAATGAATAAGAGTGATACTGTAAGCATTTTCTTGTTACTAAACCCCTCATTACAGTAACTTCAACAATAGATGAATAAACTGTCATTCTTGACTTCTTTATATGGTTTCAGTCATAACGGCCCTCCAAGGGAAACTGTAATTAAAATCTGGCCCGTGACAAAAATGGGTTTGACCCCCCTGATCTAAATAAAGAAAAAAAATAATTTATTTTCATTTCTAACTGAGTTACAAGTAATTTGAATTATTAAACTAATGATTTGATAAAATAAAGAAATACACTTGATGTTAAATGTACTGTATACAGTGGACCCCCGCGATTCATGGGGGATATGAACTCAGTCGGCCCATGAATAGTGAACATCTGCATTAAAAATGATGTGCAAAATAATATTTAAATTAACAAACAACACCCCCCCCCCATAAACCTCCAATATTCATTTTCCACAAAAAAACAATGGGGAAATTGGGAGAAACCCCCAACAGCGCCCCAAAATCTCAATAAAAATATTAAAGAATGTTGAAAAAAAATTGAACAATAAATATTACCAAACCATAAGCATGAAGGGGTCCACTCCTGTACATACAATTGCTAATATTTTGTTATATTTTCACTTTGAATAAGACAATCAAACAATTAAACAATTTGATCAATGCATTTTTCAAAAATAAGTGCATTTTTAATTAGCAGCGTTCCATGACCTACCCCTGGTCAAGACAACACTCAGACAACAGTGTTTAATTGTAAATCTTACCAATCTTTTGTGTTATCTCCACCCTGAATTCATTTTCAGGTCGGGGGCAATTGAATTCCAGAGAGACAGGGATGTCGCCTTCGAACAATAGTGACTCTTCACAATTGCGTGTCGTCGCCACAGAGCACACTTTGCATAATGATCCTTTGGCTAGCCTGCTGATGTTGACAGTGGTGCCTCGGTCAGGGGTGAACGTCAATGACCGGAACCCTAGAAATCAGTTGAAGAGAAGATGAGGGCCTGCATTTCAGTTCCACTGCACCAGACTAGATGCTTTCACTTTCGATTCTCTATGCTTTCTAAAATGTTCAATTTGCAATGGGGGGTTCAGTTATGAAGTTGAGATCAAAACTATCTCTGCAAAGGCTTAAATATTTGTCAGTGGTGAAATCAGTGACTGATTGACTGTCGTCAAAGAAGGTATCTGTAGAGCTAAAATGTATTCTCCATACAAGGTAAAACCCATCCAGATAGTTTCTAACGGCCACTTGTCCTTATCCTGGTCATGGGTAAAATGGATTGGTCGCCTGCCAATCGCAGGACAAACAACTATTCACACTCAATTTCACACATATGGGCAATTTAGAGCCTTTGCTAAATGTAGCAAGATTGTTTTTGGAATGTGGGAGGAAGCTGGAGTACCTGGGGAAAATCCACAAGTGCAAGGACATCATTCAAACTCCACACAGGCAAGCTGGGCCAAGATTCAAACCCAGAACCTTAAAATGTTTCGGCTAACCACTAATACACTGTGCTGCCAGTAGGTAACCTAATGTCACAAAATCCAAATTAAATTTGGTTAAGGGCGGCCCGGTGGTCCAGTGGTTAGAGCGTCAACCTCACAGTGCAGAGGTACGGGGTTCAATTCCAGCTCCGGTCTCCCTGTGTGGAGTTTGCATGTTCTCCCTGTGCCTGCGTGGGTTTTCTCCGGGTACTCCGATTTCCTCCCAAATTCCAAAAACATGCATAGCAGGCTGATGGAACACTCTAAATTGTCCCGAGGTGTGAGTGTGAGCGCGGATGCTTAGACAGCGGGGTTAGGCTCCAGCCCCCCCCCCCCGCCCCCCGCGACCCTTGTGAGGATAAGCGGATCAGAAAATGGATGGATGGATGGATAGATATTACAGTTTCGGACCTTGTGTACTTTATACATGTTGTAACTCTAGTCAAATTTGTCAGATATTACAGTTTATAATTATTGATCATGATTCTGTCCATATCTATATTTCAAAGTTTGAAAATATTTTTCCTGTCTTTATATATTTTCATGAGGTTATCCATGTGTGGCTTTTCCAAATTTCCATACAATTTACCCATCATTCAAAATAAATATCCAGCAAGTTGATAATGGAATGTATATGCAATATGGTACCTGTAGTTGAACCCAAACACACTTCGCTTGGCAGAGAGATATATAAAAGGCACACCGATACCATTTCGTAATGAAACTCATTTTCATTATGGTCCTGTTTGGTTTCTTTCACCAAGCAACAACCAGTACACTCCCAAAAGTCAACACCACCACAGCACTTCACGCAGGCTGTTAGTCGTAATGTAATCTGCGTGATTCTCCGGTTACCAACCAACATCACAGCATGGGTAACTTTGATCGTTTAATAATTAAACTCTTAACTTACCTGAAGCCAAACTGGAGACAAAAAGGAGAAAACAAAGTGGAGTTCTCAAGAGCGACATGCTGCCCAACATTTCACACGTACTATCACTTTGTTCCAGAGTGAAATTACTGAACCTTTGAGCACGCTGCCCCCATTCTGTCTTCGTCGGGGGTGGGGGGTAGGAAAAAAAGTGTTCGGCAACAGTAGATCGTTGATGAGACCGCACCGTATCTACTTCCTGGATTTGTTTGCGAGCGTGTATGGCAGTGTGGGTGTGTAAGTGAGGGTGGGGCTGGTGGGCGTGGCAAACTGCAGGTAAATGAAGCAACTGCTCTTCTGGCCAGCCAGTTTACGTACACTACGTACGTAAGTAAACTAAAAGAACAGTACGCGTGTTCCGCGTGGTGGAACTGTGATCTACTGGTTAGCACGCCGGCCTCGTAGTGCAGAGGTGCAGGTTTCGACTCCGGCTCCGGCCTTCTTGTGTGGACTTTGCATATTCTCCTCGTGGCTGCGCGGGGAGTACCTTACCCGGGTACAACGGTTTCCTCCCACATCCCAAAAACTTAGAGAATAAATAAAATATATTATAGCGTATTTTATTGTCCTGTATATTGTTTATATTGTGACAGATACAAATAAAGCACATATTGTATATTGAGTTTGATATTACAAATCTAGCATTATAAACATTGAAATCCACTTAATAATTCCGTCAGAAAAGGCGTACATTTTATAGCTGGATTATATGTTTTCAGTACACGTGCAGTGCAAAAGTTCTACACGAGGTACAGTATAAGGCAAACATTCTAGAAAGGTTCAAAACTACAAAGAAGGTTTGAAGAGAAAATTGTGCACACTTTACGATGATTTATTCTAGGCTATACGGGCGCCTACAAATATACAAAAAACATTGATATTGGTCCCACTAGAACTCACGCATACGTAAAGTACATTCATACCTTATCCTCTGAGGAGGTTTATTAGAAATCCAAATGACCAACATTTCAATAAACAGTCGTTCATTCGTTGTGGCAAGTAGTAGAATGGCTACAATTAATATTCGGTAGAGGCAGCACGGGCTCGTCAGATCAGATCAGTCATCTGGGTCTTCTCTGCTCCATCCCATTAGGTAGAAAGCCTGCAATTATAGGAACCGGCCATATGAGAGCAGCAACACTCCACACGATGATGACCAGAGTCATGAAACAAGCCACAAGTGTGGACTCGATGGGCTTTCTGTTCAGCCTCCAACTTTTGTCACCCTTCAGCTCGTCGAGGCTGAAATCCACGCAGCAAAACGTGACCTGGTCGCCGCTCTGCTGCCCCCTAGCCCTGCTGGGGCCGAGCCTCCTGTAGCGGGAGAGCCCGCAGCCCACGCACAGCCTCAACTCCTGCTGACCCCCGGTGGTCCCCAAATGCTCGATGACCACGGGCGAGATGGCCCGGTTGAAAGAGGCGGAGAAAAAAGCCCGCCCGTGGTTGTTGGTGGTGTAGATGAGCACGTCGCACTGGAAGCCGAAGCTGCTGTCCCAGCGGGCCACCAACGAGGAGGGCAGCAGTCTCTGGACGCTCACGTTGCAATGGGACGGCGTCTGCAGGGACGACGCGTCCGGAGACGCTTCGCTCCCTTCCGCGGACCTCTTGGACAGGCGCACATCCATTCCTAGGTCGGCCAGGAACCTGTTGGAGGAGTTGACGGGCGGCAGCAGCATGTCCTCGTCGCTCCATCCCTGGCATCGCTGGACAAGTCCGGCCACTGCGGTCAGAGCCAGCAGCAGGGTCGGACACTTATTCAGCATGACCCGGGGCGCGTGTCTCCTGCTCGCATGCCGCGTGGGACGAACCGCTGGTGATTTTTAACCGCGCCGATCCAGGTGGAGAGATTCTATCCTCTGCCCGAGTGGTGCGAATGGAAACGTCCAATGGCTGTCACATACGCGCAACCCCTCCTCCCTCCCTTTGGATATTCTCCTCATCCAACGGTGTCCTGCGCGCCTGTGGCACCCATGCTTCACTCACTCCCTTTCCCCCCATCGCTGCTATTCCAAAGGAAAACCGAAATGGAACGAGAGGTAGAGAGACATATCTGTATGTTTCTGCCATGTCATTGCTTGTAGCTGTTCTCTGATACGAAACTGCTTTCCGTCTTGAAAAGTGATGGAAAGTGAAAATATTTCGTTTCTCTTCTTATGTAGGTATATTTTAGGTATGGGTTGGCTGCTTGAATTGAGTGTTTATTTCAACAACCTTTCACTATTACTCCCTATATTTGAAAACATCGATATCTGAGTCTTCTACTTATTTTGTCGTTGAAAACACACACACACACACACACACACACACACACACACACACACACACACACACACACAAAAACACACACACACACACACACACGAACCCTTGCTTCAGGTCGGAATAACATGAAAAAAATTGCTCCTTAAAATTTGAAATTTGCTCCTCAATTGAGACATAGATTAGCAAAATTGCTTCAGAAAGAAAATAAGTTATTTCGAGCCTTGCTCATTAGATTGTTCAAGTGAACCTATTCAAGTGGACCGTGGTTTGCCCCGGATTACAATTTTAGTATAGAAGGAAATAAATGCTGTATTTGTTTTAAAAACAAACATGCAGTCAGGCTTTTGCACTTGTTCTGGGATGTTCCAAGTCTCAAAACAGGCACAACACAATAAAATAATTGTCCTTCCACATCACCTCTTGTCCTCTGTGCAGAAGAGGGAAGGGGGTGAGAAATAATAATGGCAGCATTATGTTCATAATTATGTATTGTGTCAGAAAAGACAATCAGCTTTTGGCAGAACTCGATCGTTAAACAGGATTAACAAAGAGATGATTATTGTAGTCTGCAATTTTTTCTTAGCAGTTGATAAAGCCAACAAACATCACTTGAAGGAACTGTTTGCCTCTGTGTTGTTTAAATAGCATCATTTGCTGCTGAGGGCCTGGCTTCGTGGATTTGATGTGATGGTCAGCTGACGTGAAAAACACTTTGGCCCCAATTTGCACCTGAGAGCACTCGTCCTCTTCTGTTTTAATTATGACAGCAAACCTTTTCGCTTGCAGATAATTGTGGGCTTGTTTAGTTCCGTTTCTGCACACTCATACAGTTCAGTCTTCCTAAACACGGGTCCCCCAATCTCAGATATGCCATTGTGAACAGAGCAAAAATGTAAATGGTTTTCTTGTTCATTAATTATGCTATAAAAATGTAAATTGGTTTGGTGACAAAAATACAAATGGGACTAAGATAAAGTCTCTTGTGCCAAAGGAGAATGCATAAAAGATTCATTGACTCAAAGTGTGGCTCTTTCCACAGGAAGCCGAGATGAGGAAGCATTTGTGGCATGCGGCTGGCCGGCAGCCGCTCTGTGCTGGATCAGACACCATTAGTCTGAAACGCAGACTCTGACTTAATGAGAAACCAAGAATTAGCTCTGTGCATGCTCATAACCGCAAAGTTCAGCTCCGCTCTCACATCAGAGTCTGGTGAAATCCCGATTTGTCTCCTGTGGGCCTGTCATATCACCAATCACTGCCAGGACTCATCACCACGGCAACCAAATGGTGCTCTCCCTGGAGGTGAGAGAACAGTGCAGTCCACTGATGAGGAACAATACAGTATGTTCAGTGGAGGAAGAGAGTCCTAATATTTCACTGTCGCCGTTTAGGGTCTGATTAAAGACAACCGTGTCGAGCAAAGTAGTAGCAGAAGAAAATAGTGAAAATGTGAATTGGTACTGTAACCGCTACATAAATGTACTTAAAAATATTTATTATTATTTATCTACTGTGTAAATGAAAAGAAGAAAGGGCAGCACGGTGGCCCATTGGCCAGCACATCTGCTCCACAGCCAAAGGTTTTGGGATCTGCTTCTGAAATCTTGTGGCGCAGCTATGTTCTCCTGGGCTTGTGTGGGATTTTTCTGGGAATGCTGGCTTCCTTCCACATTCCAAGAAAACTGCATATTAGGTTAATTAAAGACTCCCATAGGTGTGAATGTGTGTGTAAGTGGTTGTCTATTTGTGCCCTGCATTTGCCGAGTGACCAGTCCAAAGTGTATCCCACCTTTCTTCTAAAGCTGCCTGGGACAGGCTCAATCTTGCAAGCTGCAATTCCAATGAAGACAAGAGCTATAGAAATTGAAAGGGTTGGATATTTATGATATCACGACTGACTCAAGTAAGAAAAAGGAACCCTGTGTGTGTGTGTGTGTGTGTGTGTGTGTGTGTGTGTGTGTGTGTGTGTGTGTGTGGAGAGAGAGAGAGAAGAGAGAGTAAGAGAGTCTCACATTTGCCAAAAGACATCTTGGAAAACATTCTGTGGACTGATGAGACAAAAATTGAACTTTTTGGAAGATGTGCGGCCAGTTACATCTGAGGTAAAAATGGCACGGCATTTGATGAATAGAACATTGTGCCAACAATGAAGCATGGTAGTGGCAGTGTGATGGTATGTGGCTGCTTTGTTAACTCAGGACCAGGACAACTTGCTGTTATTGATAGGACAATGAATTCTGCTGTCTCCCAGAAAATCCAGAACGACAACATCCGACAATCAGTTTGCGCCCTCAAACTCAAGCGTTCTTGGATCATGCAGCAGGACAACAATCTGAAACACACCAGAAAGTCCGCCTCTGAATGTATCAAGAAAAAACAAGTTATGTTGAAGTGCCCACGTCAAAGACCGAATTTGAATCCAATCAAGCTGCTGTGGTGTGACCTTAAACACACAGTTTATGCTCGAAAACCCTCCAATATGGCAGAGTTAAAGCAATAATGCGAAGAAGAGCGGGCCAAAATTCCTCCACAGCTATGTGAAAGACTCATCACCAAGGATCGCAAATGCTTGATTTCAGTTATTACTGCCAAGGGTAGCACAACCCATTAGTAGGTTCGGGGGGCAATTACTTTTTCACCCAGGGACAGGTAGGTTTGGATTTTTTTTGTGTGTCTAAATAAATAAATTAATTTAAAAATTGTCATTTAGAAAATGTATTTTATATTTCCTTGGGTTGTCTCTGTGTGATAGTAAAATTGGTTTGATGAACTGAAATCTTTGTGTGTGATAAATATGGAAAGAACCCAAATATCAGGAAGGGGGCAAATACTTTTTTCATGGCACTGTACCTGTACACCTTTGACCCTTGAAAAGTTCAAAAACAAATCTTGTGATGCATCCCTAATTCCCATATGCTCCCTAATATCTGCAGAGTCAATGGATGTCCTGGTTGTTGCAGTGGCGAACATCAGAAGTAGGTGTGCTTTGGACTGCGTTTGTTCTGGTTAGAAACCAAAATCAAACATTCAAATACTTTTAGACTTTTGGCAGCATGATTCAGTCTTCTTCACTTGATTCGTGGTTACGCACTTCAAGTCAACAAACGTCTAGGTTACGCATCATCGAGTAAATGAGAGCCTGGCTAAGAGTGCTCAATGCAGTGTAACTCCTGGGCGTAAAATTAGGTAGCTTCAATTCCATAAATTCAGAAAGAAAATCATTGATACTGAAAGAATGACTTTGTCATTCTGCAGCATACTATGCATACCAATCCGATTTCCCAGGAGTGACGGATCATTGCAACCAAGAAGAGGCCCGTTGAATGAGGCAGATTGACCGCGACTGTTTTTGAGTTTTGGGTGGTGGGATAGCCAATGTGTTGCTCTGGGTGGTCTCCTGGCATTAAGGCACACAGTCGATGCTGCAAAACATTGTCCGTGCTCACCCTTCCCCAACCTCATGAGCACTAATATTTCCTAAAGTCAAGTTAATTTCTCGATATCTGTGTAACGACTAGCTTTGCTCATAGTTGTCTTAGCTCAGGGCTTCTCAGTGACAACAAGACCTTCTTGCATTGAAGAGCTACTACAACGGTGTGTTGTAGCAAAAGACAAGCGAGATCAGAGTGATTGATGGAGATGATGCCTTAAGATCTTCCTTTCCAACCACACATCTGACCCTCCTACATATCATGTATCCAGCCATGCTTCTCTCCTCCATGTGAACAGATAAGTGAAGGACACATGAGTCTGTCAATGTGAAACACAACCAGAGAATAACATCACACTTAGTGGGCTCTGAAAATGACAGTCAGGGGCATGCAGAGTCCCATCAGGAAGCTCCTTGCTCTTTTTGGGGAGCTGAGATGGTGCTTCTCTGTGGTGCGACAAACACCCCCAACCCACCTCTCATTGATGGCAAGTGCACATTGTTCGGGGTCACCTTGAACAGGTAAAGGCAAGCCCCCGCCCAAATGCATTCAGTGATCAGTTTTCCATATAACGCACTGCTGCTCCAGTAGCTCTGTGTGGTCATTTGTCTTGTGGTACTCTGCTCGTGAAACGTAATCGTCCCCAGAAACCTGCAGAGAGAACCACCAGGGTGATTACCGTTTTTTGTCATAGTGGGAACGGGGAGGCGGATGTGGGTAGAGTAGGATGATTGGTTCCTTTCAAAAGAGATTTGTTTGAAAAACAACCAACAATCTGCTGAGACCCAAAGACAACACAGCAATTCACAAATGCTCAGTTTGAACCCCCCACCCTCTCCCGCCCCCCAAAATCGGCTAGAAAGTCTTTGTGGAATCATACACAGCTATTTTGGGCTGCTCGTTAGAGAAAAATGAAAACAAGTGGAACATTGAGACAAAGATGGAGCATTGAAATAGGATGAGACTTTTCTCAGAAGTCATTCCATGCCTTGTGTTTGTTTTTAGTGAGTTGTTGCTCAACAGATTTGTGGCATCAAAATTGCCAGCACAGACAGCATAAACCCGCCACCTGTCCCTACATTTTATTTTTCTCATTTTCCCTCATGCCCCATTTTAAAAAGTCTGTATGGATTAAAAACACAAGCAGGGACAGCAAATATATTCACCAAGCGTTACTGAACAATTGAAAAAAAAAATCTATTATCTTATCTTATCTTATCTTGTCTACTGTAGGCCAGCAACAATTTGTGTCACAGGAAGAACAATTAAATCATAGATGGCAGAAGATACAATGAATGTATGTATCCACATTCACTGGCCACAACAGTTGATCGCCTGGAAATTATGAATATATGAATGCTGTTCGCAGTATTATTAAGATATTCCTGTATTTTGTTGCAAACCAAAATATGCTGATTAATATACAGGTCCTGGATCGGATTCGATTGTATAAGTGTTGTTGCCAAGGTAGTACACAGTTGCTTGGATACTTAAATGTGAGAGAGAAGACATAGGCGAAGGCATTAGACAAAATTCTGATATGTAAAAACGGAGTCAGTGAGGGTGTCATTTAATTGCCCTCATAATGTGAAAGAATATGAATCAAATAATTCTTTCAATGTGTTCCTACTTTGCTTGATGGAAATAGATTGTGTCGACTTGCAAAGTTTGGTTGGTAACCAAAAAGCAAATCCCTCCTTGGTGCTCGGCGGTACAGTATTTAATAGAGACCACATGGATTATTTTATCCTTCTGAGTGTTTTTGGTGTGGTTCCAATACTAATCCCTCTGGTTTTATTGACTCTTCATACATTAAGGTTTATAATTTGCTTTCTCTTGAGTTACAAATGCACATCTTATCATACTACACAAATTATTTCAGTATTTCTTTTCACGGTGTTGCTCATTCCAAGAAATTACAACAGTCGATCCAGTTCTCAATCAGACAATAATAAAATGAGGAAAAAAGAATCAGATGTATTGATCGGAAGGCTTCTTATCAAGCCTAGTAGGGAGAATTTACGCTTCCACTGTGGTAGAAACCCATTGCTCCTTCACTCCCCACCTCATCCACACCCGCCTGAAGCAAAAGTGCCCACTTGCCTCTGATGTATGACTGCAGGGCTCCAGTAATGCCTCATGTTTATCTTCCAGATGCAAGGCTACGAGTGTTCTGCTTTGGTTTTGCTCGGATCAGCTCAGACTGGTTGACTCTTTTATTACTTCTTTCTGCATTTTAGATCAACGACTAGCTTCCTTCCTCACTGGCTTCTCTCTGTGATGAGGAGCAGTGCGAATGGAGGTGATCTCTTACTCATAAGTCTCTCCACACTGGCATCAAAGATATGTTCCCCTCCGATGGAAACCCTCCTGAGAAAGGACTTCCGGGTGCCGCCAATAAATGAGTCAGTCGTATTTCATGTTATTGATTTGTAGCCTAACAGTTTAATATGTATGGATAACCTATTGCAATTAAATATGATCATCGACTGTAGTGTAATGTGTTAGAATTAATTTAGTATATTGGTTAATGTCACGGCACGGTGGGCGACTGGTTAGCACGTCTACCTCACAGCGCAGAGGTGCAGGATTTGATTCCGGCTGCAGCCTTCAGAGGTGCAGGATTTGATTCCGGCTGCAGCCTTCCTGTGTGGAGTTTGCATTTTCTCCTGCATGGCAGGTTAATGGAACACTCGAAATTGTCCCTTAGCATGAGTTTGAGTGCAGATGGTTGTTTATCTATGTGTACCCTGCGATTGGCTGGCAACCAGTTCAGGTTGTCCCACGCCTACTGCTCAAAGACAATTGGGATAGGCTCCAGCATGCCCTCGACCCTCATGAGGATAAGCGGATTACAAAATGGATAGATGGTTAATGTGACCAAGCGTTTAGATAGATTAGTGAACTAATGTATTGTAGTTGAAACAAACCACAATTGTAGTTTATTTGACGCAATGTTTGGGTGAAATATTTAACTCATTTGTTGGCTCGAAAGTGACCAAATTAACTACTTTTGGGATGGTGCTATAAAAACCGATCTGCTGGTTTAAAAAAAAAAACACCTGTTTTTCGAGTGCATGTAGGCATATTCATATTCATTGGTGCTTTTATAAATGAATAAGAAAAAACAAACAAAAAAATTAATACGTTAGAATCATCTACAGTACCTATGTATGCGTCTCTCAATCAATCATATGGGAACTGAGGATGGAACTGTTTTCTGTTTAGTATCTTGTACTGTATATTTATATGAAAATGTGCGTTCATATTTGTATTTCCTTTTATGAGTTAATAAACAAAAAAAAGCAAACAAACATGTAATTAACACATTTGTACCTTTTGCATGTATTGGAACAGAGCAGAAGAATTAAGGCTTTGTGATGTAATTAGTTTTGTTTGCCGTAATTAGTTTTGGTTGTCTTTTTTTTGGGGGGGTGAGATGTTATACAAATGTACAAACTGGAATTTGTTTTAAGACTTTTATTTGCTGGGCTAGCAAATACAGTAATACAATACTATACATAGTTTTTCTTGACGCTGTACTGTGTGTTCATCAGGCGTACCAGACTGCGTCATGATTGTTCGTTTCAATAAAGTTTATTCAAACCAAGATGGCAGCGCTCGTTGTGCAGTCGTGCGCTGTAGACTCAGGTCATTGACAGCAACATTTAAGCCTTCACATCATATTTGCAGGATGGAGTTTTTAACCATGATACAGACAACGACTCGGATATAAAACAAACCAGGTAAAAAGCACTCTACTTCCTCTAATTTACTTTTGTATGCCGCAAGACAGACGCGAGTGTCACCAAATCAATAGTAACTCTTACCATGAATGGACAATACTAGCGATAACTAGGCGATTAATAGCCGAATAGGTGTCTTGAAAGAGAGCTATTCATTTTGCAATCTGTATGTGATTGTGGTTGTTTCTTGCACTGCATCACAGCTGTGTCGGAGTCATAATATCACACACTGCCTTCGCTCATTTCTTATCAGGTTCATGAAGCAAGCGATTTTGTCATTTTAAACCAGGCAGACCTTAGGATATTGTTAAGTCAATTTATAACAAAGCACGAACTGTAATAAAGTACACAAAGCGCCCTCTGCGAACCTCGAACTCTACTGCTTTCAATGATGCATATACTGTAATATTGTTCTTGATCTAATTTTCCATCAATTGGAAAAAATTCTAAACATTTAGTTCTTCTTCTTACCAAAATCGCCCCCTACCCCCAGTCCCGACTCATATTGGTTTTCTTCTTGTACTTGGAAAAACTGTCTTGCGTGTAACAACCAAGCTTGCCCTACTTATAACCCTGTGAAAGTGTTCATTTAAAACAGCTCCATTTTTTGTAAAACAATGGGAATGTGGAACATAAAACATGTAGCAGGTCATCAATAAATGAAACACTTTACATGGTTTTGGAGCCACTTGTTTTTTCAGGAGATTGTGAGATCAGTGGTCACCATAGAAACACATTCTTCGTCTCTCACCCTGCCATGTCTGCAGTGATCCTTGATGGACACATTCCCACAAGCCAGTTAGCAAGGACATCGTCCATGTGAAATTGTCACGCATCTTAGTTTGTCAATCTGTTAGGCTGCTCTATTTCATCGAATTCACATTTATATTTTGCAAGTTATTTATTAATCTGATTTTTTTGTGTCTTTTATTAGAGGTGGGGTGTCATCATCACAGAATGCATAAACATGGCAGCCATATTGGATCAAATATGATGTAAACACGTCAGGTTTTTTAACTTACAAGAAATTATAGGTTTCCAATACCGTGTTTTAATAGTAGAGGTCAGTGGTTGTATTTTGAGACACCACCACGTAATATCCATTCAATGTATCCCCCTCATTCACAGTCTCTGCTTGATTAATTCATATTTTATTTGGAAATGGAGTGACATTTTGCCTCGTAGCTTCTGCCACGTTTATTCATACTTATTATTTCGTGTACAAGTAGTTTACGTTGTTCTCAGTTTGTATTCTCGCATATTCCATCTATATATATATATATATATATATATATATATTTTCAGTTCAGGCCAGCGGTTGTCACTCACATTCTGCCAACCGCAAGTAGCCTGGCGTCTACCGTTTACAAACATGAAAATAGCTGTTAGGTTAAGTGAATTTACTTTAATCAGAAACTATCCCTTTGACCTGACAACTGCCATTTCTACCAATTTCAGCATTTGTTTTTGTTTTCTGTGACAGAGTCATGAAGATGTTAAGGAGATGGATGCCTCCGTATCCTCACACTGTTGTCCAGTCAGGCCAGATCAGGACTGCTTTCCTCACCCTTGTCCACTGCCAGTTGTCCCCTATTATCCGCACGCTGTTCAGTGAGACCGGCGTGTGGGAGAAGGAGTATCGGACAGAGACCCGATGCAGAGTGGAGCAATGGTGGCACCCGCGGATCATGGCGCAGTGGCAAAAGGACTCACTGGAAAAGGTGCAGTACCATCCTCATCCTGCAAACATACTTGAGCGTGCTTATTAGCATTAGAAGAACGTTTTGGTTGCTAGGAGACAATGACATGTAAAGTGGGGCTGTGCTAATAATCAACGTTATCGATCCGTTTTCTTTTATTTGTGAGGATGTATTTGTGTTTTGTTTTTTTTCATGCGTCCTTTCGATGTGCACTGCTTGTACTAACAACATGGCTGCAAACATAGTGTTGCTATTTTACAGAGCATAGTCTCTGTTCCCACCTTAGCAACTTTTCCAACCCCTTGAGTTATTAAATTTCAAACAAATGATAAGAAACTTGAATTCTTTCGAAGAAACACAAGAGTAGAATTAATCTGACATTGGGTTTTTGTATGTCAAGAACCAAGCCCAGTGGAAGGCAATTGCGGAATCAATAACGCTGAATGTCGTGAGAGACATGGTTCCCATTTATATGTTGCAGAAACAAAATATTTTTATGAAATTTGACGCTCAGTGAACAAAAAACAAATGGAGGAATCATTTGAAATCCCAGAAGAGGGGAAAAATAAAAAAGTAAATGCTGTTTCAAATTGTCATTTTTCTCTGATTTTTCTCAAAGCAAAAGTCAAAATCGATTCAAATGAAAAAAAAAGATGGCCATACCGCCCAACTATAATGTCAAGCGTTTGTTTGTGATCGATGCTGATTTTTTGATCAATAGACTTGCAGGCTGGGTGAATAGCGCACAAAATGATCACACTCATTCGCTGATAGTATGCTTGTTGTTGCCTGTTCCGTGGTTATGTGTTGAAATAGTCAATGCTGAAGCCCTCAAAAGTGAACTAAAAAATGCAGCTGATGATGTGGTACACTGAGGAAAATGCATAATTTTAAACTATGTTTATGGAGTAGCAAAATACATAAATGAAAAAAAAAAACATTTTTGTCCATATGTAGGTACACTTCTACAAGAATGGGGGGGACCCCCACCCAATCCACCGCATGTATTTCGGTGTTTTAAAAGGCTTTCTTGAAATTACTTGATTAAGCAATAATTACTCATCCACCCAAATGATGATCCACTTTTACTTGTAGTCTCCGGCTGATTAGACATCCTAATAGTCTGATGGTGCAAGCGACAGTGATGAAGTGTGTTCGTGACAGCTCTGGCACTAATTAATTTATTGAAAAATTCATGGCTCGGGTTTCCTGTAATCATATATAGCTTGATGTATCTGGCACTTCCTCAGTTGCCAGGGCAACACTGTTATGACCGTAAACCATCCATTCAACAATGCTACGACTCGGAATCGTGTCTGACACTACAATCAGAGCGCGTTGGAGCCTCATACAGAAAAGCACAAGTCATTGCTCTTCCTGTGCATGTGATGAGATGAGTTATTGTTCTTTTTCTTCACCTCCACGTGTTTATGCACACCTTCCCATCACATCTTCCTACAATATTCATGACTCTAGCCGGCTTTCTCATTTCAGGATCAAAATCGGGAAAAGTTCTATGTTCTCTCCATGTTCCCATATCCATCTGGACGACTGCACATGGGCCATGTGCGAGTGTACACGATAAGCGACGTCATTGGCCACTTTCAGAGAATGAGAGGTTATCAGGTTTGTGAGCCGTTTTTGTTTTATCCTAACCATGACTACATCAATAATGAACGCGATGCTCTCAACTTGTAGAGATGAATGTTTCGTTGGTCCCAGTTGACGTTTTCCTTATTACTGACAATATTAATATCTGACATGCAAAACTTGCTCATTGTCAAACACAATATAAATAGCATCCACATTTGTTAAACAATTGAGTTCAACATCACTATCATTTTGGTACTCCAATTTGGTGCGCAAAAATGTGGTGATCTACAGTAAATATTGCCATTTATATACGGTGGATAAAATGGTTGCACACAACTTTCTTCAAATGCCGTTTTTGGTGATTCAAAAAAAAAAGACGATTATAAATCATTTCAAACTGTTTCCATCATTATTAATGTGACTTATAACCTGTGCAAGTTAATTAAAAAAAAAAAAATCAAAGTACCGGTACAACTAAAACCACTGTGACAATGTGGTTGAATTCACTTTCCGGGGTCTTTAAAGGTAGAGTATGTGTACCCTTTAAGATGTGACTACAAAAAAAACGACAAAATTTTATTTCAGTTTAAAGAAAGGGCACATTTACTGGTGGCAGGTGTGTGCCGACAGCCTCATACATGGCAATTTTCCGCGGATCCGCGGAAATCCGCCGTTTTATTTCTTAAATTGATCATTTTTGTGAATTGTGTAAATTTAATACACTTCATCTTCAGCATGTTTAGTGCCACTTTTGTAAGTAACCACGCCCCCGTCCAGGCCACGCCCCCGTCCAGGCCACGCCCCTTCCGCTTTTTTCATCACTCGCCATTGCCATGTATGCAGCCTTGAATAGTAGTTTGAACGTGATTGGTCTATTCTGAACATAGCCACATCCCCCGTGATAAGAGGATGTGCAGAAATCATATTATCTCATTTGTTTATTTTTAATTTCCCTCTTGGAAAGATTTTCCCCTCTTTCAGTTGAGTTGTACAGGTTAGAAGCCACAGTAATTGTGGAAAAAGTTTTGAAATGATTTATGTTCATATCTTTTTGCATCTCACAGAACCCTTGCATATGTGTAGACTTTTTAAATCCACTCTACTATTAAGACGCCAATAACATCATTACCTCTGTAAGGGAACCTATTATTAGATGGTGCGCACATTCTAATTGCAAGTGTTATTGACACTTTCTGTATATTTCCGACTAAAAGTTGTGCTTGCGCTTCAGCTTGGGTGATCTCATTAAGACTTATTAAGATGTCATGAAGGTAAAAGTAAAATCCATAGTCTTGATGATCTTGAGCACCCGGCTGAATTATTGACTCCATTCAGCACAGCAGTTGATGACAATACTCTTGTTTGAATCCACTTTAAGTGTAGGCATTGATGAACGAGTCACTGCACGCCCCCCCATCTTGATGACAGCCTTCATTCAGTCCCCCGCGCAACCACCATATCCCGCTCTTTGCCTCCCATGGAGCATAACAAGCCCCTTGGATGTCTTTCCCTGGTGCATTTTAGATTACGTGCTGTCACCTGTAGGGAAAAAAACCCCTCTTTAGCCTAAACATGAAAAAGGTTTCACAAGACTGGCAAACTACCTCCTGCACACCAGCCTACGTTCTCAAAGCATCTGTCAGGAAAGTGAACCTGATTGTTCTGTATGCACACACCGTCTACCCCCTGTTAATTAACGAAGGTACACTCAATAGATGGTCACGCACTGTTGCTATTTCCAGCTTGTTGTGCGGTTCCTGTGTGCGCTGTGTGTCAACAATTTTTCACTCGGGAGAAATGTCTGCTTTTCAACAGTCTCATCATTAATGAACTTCTAATGGCAACAAGTCCAAAGGAAACACGTTTACACTTGACTGAGCTTAAGGGTCGCGACAAGTGGTGCAAAAGTGAAAAGTGCCTGGCTGTCAAATGCACAACTAAAACAAATGGGCGGTAGAGTTGTGTAATGAGTTTGTGGCTCACCTTACTCTTGGCATACTAGCGGATTAGATTTCTTTGTCTTTTTTTTTTTTTTTAACAAGAGACCTCTATTGTTTTGTTTCAAAACAAAGGCTGAAGAAAGGTAAAATAATATTTTACAAGCAAATATTATTTCCATGTTGTTGTTTTTTTTTTGGTGATCCCCCACTTCACATACCTTTGAACACAGGTAAATATGATCTCAAAATTTACTACACGAAAAATTATTCCATTCTTGTTTATCATTTACAGTACGTCAGTGTTCAGACTGAGACATCACCACTGAACTAAACGTTAACTTCAGAACAAGATGACAAACTTGTGTTGCCAAAAATCTGGTTCAATGATGGGTCTTCCTAAATGTTACTTGAAGCACTGATTTATTCAGTTTAATTCTTTGCTCTTCCCTGTATTCCTTGAAAAGAAGTTGTAAAACCACATATTTTCATTGGGACTTCATCTGGCCACTGGATAAATGTATATATATTTTTTTAAATCATGTATGATGTGTTTTATACAAAATATGTATTTTATGAACAAAACCCAAAAAAGATAATAGAAAATTGGCATTCATTTCAGGTAGATTTAAGAAAAAAATGCTATACATATGGGGGACCAAAGAGGAAGGCTTTTTTTCCCACAGTATGTCTACTGATTGTTAATCGGTCATTTACAGGTTAAAACACCAGTCTTTGCCATCTCTGCATAAACAAAATACATGTAATATAGATCCATAGAAACATAATATGGCGGTGGTCGACTGGTTAGCACTGGTTAGCAAGAAATCAAGCATGAGTCTTGCTTTCTTGCGATGGAAGTAACAAGTCAGATTTCTTTGTCAGACTGGCACCCACTTGTTCCATGCTACAGTCGGCAGATTTTGTCATTAGGTCCACTTTTTTCCGCTTTTTCCCCCTCTCCATCTCTCCACTGCCTCCTGTCACTCATGCTGTGCCTCCATTACGCTGGATTAGGACTGCACCTGTGCAAAGTGGGACCGATCTTGACTTTCGCAGACATGGGAATAAGCGCCACTCAAGCTATTAACGATGAAAGGATTATTTTGCCCCGTCAATCTCTTGGAACCTTGAGCTCACTCAGGCAACCTCTCTATTAGAGCAGACACACCATTTCATGTTAAGAGAGTTCAAGACTGAATGAACAACAGTAGAAGCGCAACACTAATGAGGAGGATTTATTTATTTATATCCCTGCCTTTGTTATTTGCACAGGCTGTCGTTGGCTTGCATCGGGATCGATGCGCATGCATGTCTTTGTCCCGAGCAGGAACATTGGGCCACAGTGCTGAGCTCTATTAGCCTAATACGATCTAGTACTTGGCTCTAAAAAGGAGGCCAATGCAGTTACCAAGGATACCAACTCTTCTGAAACATCAGACCTGTTAAAGTCTGTGCAGTGATCCTCTCCAGTCCTCGACTCCATGACGGTGTGCTTCTCTTTTCTCATGCCTTCCACTCCTGTGCTTTCATCTCATTTGGCTCTCACTGAGCAGAAAAGCACCCCCGAGGAGCAAAAGGGGAAGGAAATGGTATT